TTAGGAGGAATGCAGCATGAAAGGTTTGAAAAAAGCCTGTCTTGTATTCTGGATACAAACCCCAAGAATAAACAACTTAGAATAGATGAAGTGGTGAGTTTTCTTTGCCTGTGTCTTGGAGTTTGGTTCATTCAAATGTATTTAGTTTTTTATTTATTTAAAATTCAGGAAGATTAAACAGGAAGAAAAAAACCCAACAACAGTCTCTTCTCTTATCTGGATTTTCAGGGGGCCGGAGAGGAAGAGGACACTGACTGTGTAGAGAGATTATGGAGAACTGAAACTCCCCCAATGGAAATTAGGCTCCTGCGCTAACACAGAATGATAATACAATCATTGACGGCAACTCACCAATGTTGTCTTTCTCTTTGCAGGAAATAGAGTAGCAGCATATCTCTCTGTCCTGAATAGCTGCCAAATTCCTTTGAAGGGAAAAAAGGTGCAAGAACAAATAAATTCGTTAAGCGCACTCAGACTGATCATCATGGGGAACTGTACATGTTATAACTGTATAACATGACTATGAGCATATGTTTCCAACTGGACACTAGGGGGAGCCATTTCATTGATACAAAAAAGAGAGAAATTACTGATTTTTTAAACCCCTCATCAGGATAAATGAGGTTAAACTGATGTGGGATTAGAAAACAGCACAATATATAGATACAAGGTTTTAATATGTACAGACCAGACAGAGATAAAAATAATAATATTCTAAAATTAAATCCCAAATTATACTTCTACTAAAAGTCTAAACAAGAATATTAAACATAAAACATCATCATGAAAGAGAGTGTGTCATGCACTGTTGCACACTTAAAAAAAAAAAAAAAAAAAAAAAAAAAGACTAAATCAAATTAAACACATTAAGGATCATTTCTCATACTTACATTTTCTCAATGAGCTGTTTTTCATCTAGAGCAGTGGGGAGATCCCTTTTGTTACCGAGTACCAAAACCTAGAGAAAAACACATTACACTTGAAATCTTGAAATCTGCAACTGCAGCAAAAAGTCGTCATCAGTACCCACACGCATTTTTGCATGGCTGCTGCAGGTATCGCACAAATCTTACAAACTGGTTTTTGCAGAACACTTACAGGAATTCCTTGCAACTGAGGTTTGTCTAATAAATTATGAAGCTCGTTTCTAGAAGCCTCCACCTTTTCTCGATCTGCTGCGTCAACCATGTACCTAAAAAACAAGAAATGCGAAACAGTTAGTAAAAGGTGTTTTACAGAAATATACACTATGTCTGGTTCAGCGCCAAGTGCTTACTCGATTTCCTCTCATTTGTTTTTTCAGACAAACATGAAAATTGAAACCGAGATACTCACACGATTGCATTTACTCCCCGACAGTACCGCTCCCACATGCTCCTGAACCTCGGCTGCCCCCCTATATCCCAGATCTGCAGAGTGAATGGGCAAATTATCACGCAATATCTTTGTTTCAATCATTATCACCTCCATGTAAAACTAGCACGCTACTTTTTTCAATTTTGTCTATATTGCAGTTACACTGTGACAACAGCAAAAAGATTTACATACCTTGATGGTGACGTTTCCTTTGGTGACCTTCCTCATATTGAACCCGACTGTAGGGATCATGTCTTCACTGAAATGCCCAGACTGAAAGAAAACACGTAAGTATAAGTCATTTGTCATAAAATGGTGTGACTTTCAATTGTTGAAAGTATCACAGCAAATCACTGCAGAGAGCTTTGTGGGTTACTAGAGCTGCAACTAACGATTATTTTCATTGTCAGTTAATCTGTTGATTGTTTTCTCAATTAATCAAATAGTTGTTTGGGCTATAAAATGCCAGAAACTGTTGAAAAATGTTGATCAGTGTTTCCCAAAGCCCAGGTGACTTCCTCAAATGTTGTGTTTGGTCCAAAACCCAAAAGGTATTCAGGTAACTGTGATAGAGGAGTAAAGAAACCAGAAAATATTCATATTTAAGATGCTGGAATCTGAGAATTTATTTATTTATTTATTTTACTCAAACAGATAAATCGATTATTAAATTAGATGGCAATGAATTTACTTGCTGACAACTAATCGATTAATCGTTGTAGCTCTAATATGCACCTATAGACAATTAATTCATGAGTCTCACAGTATAATCAAGCAACATGTAGCCACTCCTCACATTCTAAAATATTAATACCATATGTTCTGCCCAACTTAAACTAAAACTAGGTGGGGAAAAAAACACAAAAGCAAACTGCTTACAAAACTAAGTTAAATAAAAATGTACAGGAAATGTCCTTAGTTTTAGTCTTTCAAAATTTGGTGAGATGTGTCAACACAACAAGCATCAGGAGGCACTAGTATATATGTTCATTAAGACAGAGATATCTAAGTGACTGTGAGTCAATTACCTTCACAAAGTGTTGTGTTTGTATTGTAACACGTATTCTGAACTTCTGAAATCCTGCCCGACACACCCCCATATTATAATAAAAAACAAACCAATACTGAAACTAATCAAAACTAAACTACAGCTAAACATTTCTTAATAATAAAAACTAAACCTAAATGAGCAAAGCCACTCTGAAAACTAAATGAAACTCAAATGAAATGAAAACAAAAAATAAAAAATGAAACAAAAATAAAAACCACAAAAAAAACACAACACTATAATAATTCCAGTTCCAGCCCAGTAAGATGACAGAAAACAAAACCTAACAGTGTAACCGATCATTTAACGGTATCATACATTCCTATTAAAGTATAAAGAAAGTTTCCAACAAGGAAACAATAAGAGTCATATGCGCAGCTGTTTGTAATTATTAGAAAAAAATAATATAATTATGACATGCTGCACAGGATCTCTTGTACTCAGAGAATCTACAGGTATCAAACACTTAAATTTAATGCTTTTAAAAGACATTTTCCAGATAATTTTGATCAAATTTAAGACTGAATTTTGGACAAATCATTTTTCCTTAATCAAAAGGTAAATAAGGTAAGTGTATTTGTGAGCCTGTGCAGAGGAAGGTTCCTTGTTTTTTGGAAAGTTTTTTTTGTTTGTAGGAATAGGTTGAGAGAGAGTGAGTTAGGTCAATCTAGATTTTGCCAAAAGCTAAGTGCAAGTATAAAGTAAAGACTTTAAATATTTTTAACATCACAAATGTGGACTTTTACACAGAAGAGCTTGATTCATTTTGACAAACAGCAATTAAAAGATAGATTAAGAAGATCAGATAAAATGTTTGTGGTAATGTTACTGACTTTAATGACTTTTAAGTTTTAGTATTTTTAAAAATTGAATTTAAGACATTTTAAGGCTTTTTAAGGACTGCAGACACTCTACTTTTAGTTTAAAAGTGTTAATAACTTTTATGAGCATATAAAGTGGCTGTGCAGTGGCTCATTACACAGTATTTCAGATTTTAATGGTCCCCAGAATCTGTTCATAAAAGTTGCAGACAATATGCTGCAATACATGACTCTAAAAAAAGTCTAATTTAACTATGAAAGAGTGGCTTGTTCTCTTTAAGCTAAAACAATAAACAGAATAAATCATTTAACATGAAAGCAAAACACTGTGTCTCCACATGTTCTGGCTTTTGTCAGTGCTCATTTTTGCAAACTGAAGTGGCATTCCCCTTTTAACAACAAAACTCTCAAGCTGTGTCTTTTCCTTCTCCCTGCGCTGCTCTGTCAACCCAAAATCATGCACTGTCTGCTGTATACACATTTTACAGCACATGACTCGCCGGAGTCACCTGATGAAGCTAAGTGGAAATGAGTGCAGTGGTCTTATGACCGAGGAAGGAGGAACCATCCCTCCAACAACCATTCACTCACTCTTTTGTGTCACTGCCTGGTGGTGCATTTTTTTTTATCTTTTAAAAAGGAAAGATCTGGGTTATGTTCCAACCCCAAACCCAACTTCCTCCTCAGATGCCAGCACTGTTACCCAATGCTCAGAGTGCACTGAAATCCAGTTTGACAAACTGCTAACTTTTCTATAAAGAGATCATTGTCTGAATGCACAATAAAACATGCACTGGTGGTTTGCTCTTTCTTACATCAACACTGGTAGTAATAACTCCCGCCTGGTAAAAGTAACACAAGTTTCTAAAGTAGATATTGCTCCTGAGATTTTTATTGAAATTCTGTGTTTCTTTAATTCAATTATCAATTAATCTACTAATAAATTTCTTTATTAGTTGTTCTTTTGAATGCATAAAAATGGCCTGGCAGTTTCCTAAAGCCCATGGATACATCTACAGATGACTTGCTTTGTCCAACTAACAATATAAGACAAAATTATTCAATTCAAGAAACAGAAAAGTAGAAGATTGTATCAAATGAGAAGCTGGAATAATTGAATTTTGGGCATTTTTGATGATAAACCGATTTACAAAACTGCTGCAATAATTATTTTTCAATTAATTTTATTCAGTTAATTAATCAATGTATTGTTTCAGTGTTTTTTATAACACACTTGTGAAAAAACAACAATCACTCAGGCCAGAATAACAACAGAACAGACTGCAATAGTCTCAACAGAAATTTGAATGATTGCTGCATGTTTCCAACATATCATGACAACCACAACCCCATAAGCAACTTCAAAGAAAACCACAAAGCTCATGTTTGCTGCTAAAAACTCAGCTGCTCTCTAGTGATTAGCCAAGGACAAATTGCCCCACCAGAAATGGCCAGTTTTGAGAAATCCCTGCAAAGTTGCACAAAGTTGCTCAAGAGAAACATCTTGCAAAAAAACAGAAGCTCTGCAGCCTCAGTCACAGGAGGTCACAGCTAAAGATGCAATCTGTGTGTGTGTGTGACTTTATCACAAATTTGCATCCAAAGCCTCTGCAGTGTGAGTCATGTTAGATGGTTGCAACAGGAGACATCAACTACTGTTTACATTATATGCAACATTCAACTTCTTTATGCCACTGGCCACCTGCATTAAGGCAATAACTGAGAAAATTAGATGTAGAAGGTTTAAAAATACTTAACCCTGTGTGTGTTTACTGTCAGTGAGCCAGCTCCAGTTTTAACTCTCTGAAACAGCCTCCTAAAATCTGAATTTCCACCTGTTGCAGGACACCTGAACACAACACACACTGGGTTGTAATGTGAAATTGCCTGAGTGTGACCAGTTGTAAATGGTCAGCATGTTTTTAGGTTCACTTCCTGGTGGCTGACAGCTCTGAGCTCAGTGTAAAATGACCCCACGGTTTGTAAGTGATAATCTAACTCAAAACAAAGCTAATATGTGGTGCTGTGTTTGGGTTTAGCATGCTACATATATA